CGAAAATCGAATGCAGTGTGAATCCAGCATAACACCGTAGTTTGCATTTGCTTATCAGTTTGTCCAGGAAAGAGGTTAATTTTTACTTTTATAATATATACTTTATAATATAGTTGATTATTTATTATTATACATATTTATTGAAATATGATTTAAGCAATATAAAGTGAATATTGGACTGATGAGAATAAATTTAATTAAATAAAGGAATCCTATATTCGGTCATGAAATTCTTCATTATATTTACAAATTACATTTTCAATAAAATTTTGAACTTTCTTTCTTTTCGGATGAGTTTCGTTATCGTCATAAATAATATTTATTTCTTCTTCACTTTTAGAACTTTCACTTGAACTTGAAAATAATTCATCAAATACAAATAAATCAATTTTTTAAATAACAAATTAGACAAACTGATAAAGTAAATGCAAATTACGGTGTCAACTGGGGGTCGATTATGTATCTCGAAATGAGGTGAAAATTACAAGAGTGAGCAAATTCACTAATTATTGACCAATTAAATTATGAGTATTCTAGTGAATTTGCTCACTTTTGTAATTTTCACATTATTTCGAGATACATAATCGACCCCCTGATCTCTTACGGAACACAGCTATGTTATTTACAGCGCTACCAACCTTGTAACTAAAAAGAAAATTTTCGACACAGCTATCGGAACACAACCACAGTTGAATTTATCCAACTGCAAAAGCGTCTTGTGTTTTGTCGCATGTTTTGAAAAATCGCGGAAAGTGCTAAGAAATGAATTGTTGCTTTATATGGAAATATTCAATAATGGAAAACTATGAGAAAATCGACATACCCCAAGTTAGTAAAAGAAATAAATGTTTATGGTGAAAAGATAATGTCGATATTGAGAATTTTAAGGTTTAAGTTTATTTCTTACTAAATCGTGGTGAAAATACTATTTGATATGAAACTTAGAACATATGATGACTTATTATTGAGCTTTATATAAAACATTTAATATGAACAAGCTGCATATTTTATTACTGTTATTTGCATCGCTTTTAATAGCCACTGATATCTTTTGTAAGTAATTTTCAAGTTATGTTTATCAAGTTTCACGCACTTTTACTTCTAGAATGACGCGTGACGCGCGCGATAAATGACGCGCCCATGAAATTGCACCTTAAGGCTTACGGCAAGCGTCCTGCGTCACTTTGAAACTATGTTTGACGACAATTTTCAGTATTATCAGTGAATCAGTGAATTCATAACTACTGCAACTCTGAGAAAACTCGATCACTATTTTGCATGTAACCACAGTATATACAGTAGCGCAACTCTCTGTCGGCACCTTTGACGTCAGCGTGGATAAAAATGAATTGCACATGCGCGAGCGAGGTATGTAACCAATCAAGGCATTGATATTCCATCTCACCTCTTCTCTCTGTTGTAACCTTTTCTCTTTTTCTACTTTATTGCATAAGGTCTGTTCTTTTTCCACTGTAAGTTCTGAACTGATGTACACTGATGCAATAAGTTCAGAACCTTCGAAAAATAACAGACCTACACAATATACATTATATTTAAAACAGAAAATAAAATAGAAATGAAACATGATAGATATACATTTATTTCTCAGGAAATATAAGAAGATTCGTACTTATACTTAACCTTTTTTTATTTGCAATGATAGTCAGAGTTACAAAATATAAACGCAATAAGAGAACTAATAATAATATAGCAATCTGTTTTATTTTAACTGATCGATAGTACTTAATCTCCAATTTGAAATATTCTTCCTTTACTGTTAAAAAAAACGGTGTTAAATTTATTTCTTAAATTTCTTTTTATATTTGTCAGATAAAATCCAGTTATTCGACTAATTCAATTTACTATATCTCAAATCACAACAATATTAAACCTGTTAGATGTTATTTTAAAAAACGAATAAAAAATGATTGCGTTCAGCGTTTATTTCGCAAATGTTGGAAGTTTTCTTTGCGCTAATTGTATTATACTTTTAGATTTAGAGGATTGGTGGATTCTATCTTAACACACAGACAATCATAAAAATGGTTTCAAAACTGTTGTGTTCCGCTGAAACGTACCTATTACGTTAATTAATTGATAATGGCTGCATTCAACAGAGAAAACTAATCAGTTATAATTAATCAAAACTGTCACTTTCCGTTAAATGGCTATTTAAATCCCTTATATGGACATTTCAACGGTGCAGACAGACAGCGACAATAAAGAGAAAAAGCGAGATGGAATATAAGTGCCCTGATTGGTTACATACCTCGCTCGCGCATGTGCAGTTCATTTTTATCCACGATGAAATCGTAAGAGTTGCGCTACTGTATATACTGTGATGTAACCTCAGTGTATTTTCTGATTGACTTTATGTAGTAGCCACCGCTACGTCGTCTTCATTGTAGACAGACGTGGTTGTAGAAATTGTGCTACTGCTTGCGTCTTACTACATTACTGCTTGCTGCTAATGGTGGCTGTGTTCCAAAATTAACTGCCAGTACTAAAAATCTATAGTGCACGTAATATAAACTGTAGTATTATCAGTGCTGTCAGTAAATTTGGAATACAGCCTGTATTGTAGCTGGACCTTAAAAGGTCCAATTAGCAGTAGGCAGTAATGTAATAAGACACAAGCAGTAGCACAATTTCTACAACCACGTCTGTCTACAATGAAGATGACGTAGCGGCAGCTACGACATAAAGTCAATCAGAAAATACATTGTTTGAGGTTACATACAAAATAGTGATCGAGTTTTCTCAGCTGTTGCAACAGTTATGAATTCACTGATTCACTGATAATATTGAAAATCGTCGCCAAACATAATCTTAAAGTGACGTAATAAGACGCTTGCCGTAAGCCGTAGGCAGTACCGAAATGGAAATGGTTCATTTCGCTTATGACTGCAGTTGCGACCTACTAAACCGAAAATATGTCTCTTACGACTACTGTTACGGCCTAAAACTCTATTGTAGCTGGACCTTTAAGGCGTCGTCTACAATATGCAAAGTAAGCTTGGTTTAAGAAGTAAGAGTAAGAAATTGACCAATCACAGTCGATTGTGAAAAGAATAATCGACTGTGACTTGGTCAATTTCTTACTCTTACTTCTTAAACCAAGCTTACTTCGCATATTGTAGACAACGCCTAAGGCTATAGCACACACCTTCCGTAATAGTAACAATAAGACGTACCGTACGAATCAGCCAATCACAGTCGAGAATTCTTTTGAACTCTTAATTTTAATTGGCTGATTCTTACGG